CTCTCTCTCTCTCTCTCTCTCTCTCTTTCTCTCTGGTCCTTCGATTTTCGCTCGTTCAACTTGCTCCGTTAATTAATGAAAAAGTTCCGAGCCAGAGCTGAACCCTTGCCCTTATCAGCGTGTAACATTTTCGCTCGATGTTCGCCTCTTGAAATTTTCGCGATATTAAGAAGCCTTGCCTTTCGAAATTAGATCGTTAAAGTCTCGCCGATATACTCGACGTAATAATTAATATCGATAATTAGTATCGATCCCCCTGCTCGATAACTTTGATCGTCTCGAAAATCGCCTTAAAGCGACACTCTCGCCCGAAAGTCTGCAAAGTTTCTCAAAATTTCCCCCTGCCCCCTGCTCTTCTGAAAATACATTTTGATTTCAACTCACGTGTCTCGCAAATAGCACGAGCGATAAATCGGTAAAATATCGGCCACGCGAGAGCCCCCGGATACGGATTATTTCGAAACAGAGAGAGATTCTGACCGAGTGATGCAGGTCGGTTACATATTCTGGCAAAACATCGAAAAAAAAAACACAGGCAACTGGCATAGATTTTCCTTTTTTTTATTCCCCCTCTTCTCTCTCTCTCTCTCTCTCTCTCTATCTTCCTTTTGCGCGTACAGGGTGATCCAGTGAAATAGGATTACCAAAACATCCGCCTCTTTTTGTTGCTGCGTGGGTTGATCTGTTTAGAACAAAGTCACGCATAGTTCAAAGCGCGCAGTTCAATTTGAAAAGCAAGAGAAACAACAAACAGGGACGATCTAAAATTGTTTAAATCCCGCGCCAATTTAAATTGTTAGATTTCGCGAAAGAAATGAAATGAAACGAAATGAAATAATAAAAAATGAAAAATTTTTTTTCTGGAGCAGCTTGTTTGCGCGATAGCGAGCGACACTTGAGGCGATCGTCGATTCAGTTCGGTTGGCTCACCCTGTGCATCCGTCGCGATACAAGGCACGTTCATTAAAAGCGCGTGCATTATTTACACGAATCCGTTCAGCCAGGCAGAAAAACGCGAGTCCGCGCGAAACTCCCCCGGGCCACGACGGCCAACAGCCACAATTACGTCTCTCCTCGAGAGGCAGAGCGGATGGTCGTTTGTCGACTCTGTTACAAAAGAACCGGTGGAAAAGGAGGACAGGGATGGCGGAACCGGTTGACGCTCTGGATTTTAATACCGAGACGAAACTACTACGATATCCTGTTCCTGCTTAATTATCCCGATTTCGATGCCGCCGACCAATTCGAACGAGATCGAACACCTTTCGAATCTGCTCCGATCAGAAGTTTCTCAGTCAATTTTTGACTCTCGTCAACCGGCGTGATCTCGCTCTCTTTTCAAGATGATTCTCCGATTTCCAATGTACATACGATGATTTACATTTGGCAAACTGCACAGACGCTTGTGCAAATTCATATGTTTCAACGAACTGCGTGGCTGAGGAAACGAAATTTATGCAAACGTGTTTTCTTTTTTTTCTTCTGCTCGTCAGAGTAATCGTGGCTGACTGCATTTGGAAGTGTAATTAGAAAGATTAAACCTGGATAGAAAAATTGTTTCTACCAAATATAAACAGAAAGCTCTTTCGAATATTTTATGATGTACCCTTTCTCGCATTACGTGCGATTTTGTGTCTTTGAATTTCCCATAAACCCGGAATAACGAGCACGAGATGATTCCTCGCAAGAAGACAAAAGAAACAAAGAAGAAAATATAAAACAAAATTTTTTGATCTGAAACTTTGTTTGAAGATTTGTATCAAGTAAGCTCGAGGTTGGTTCATTCTATTCTCAGAATAGAACAATTAACAGAAGATTATTCTACGTACGAAAGTAAATGAAAAATGTGGGATAAAATTTTTGTGTATGACGCTTCGTTTTTCGACAGAATCGAAGATTTGAGAAATCTGTCGAGTACACGTGTACCAACGCAGTTCTTAACGAAACGTATTCAAAAAGTCTACTTCCTTGAAGATGAAGCTTCGAATGGAAAAATTTTATTCCACATTTTTTCCTCATTTTTCTTATTTATCTAGGATAATTTTTCGTTGATTACTCTTTTCCCGCCACGTGTCTAGAATTAGCTAGACCCGAGTACGATAAATCTTCAAACTCGATTTCCTCGAAAACCAGAACAAAATTTGACAAAATTTTAACCCTCGAATCCAACAAATTCCAACTATACTTTTTTAACTAACCGATTTTAACCCTCGAATCCAACAAATTTCATTCTATACTCTTTCTTCTTATCTCCTCGCGAACAATCACACCGATGATTTTAACCCTCGAATCCAACAAATTCCAACTATACTTTTTTAACTAACTAACTTTTTTAACTAACCGATTTTAACCCTCGAATCCAACAAATTTCATTCTATACTCTTTCTTCTTATCTCCTCGCGAACAATCACACCGATGCGATTCTGTACGAAACGAAAGGTCGATTGCTAATTCACACTTCGTTTATTGCACGTGTATTCGATCGCGTGGGCCCCTATGTAAATCGCGCAATGTCTGTCGAATCGTGACCTCGGTACACGTAGCTGCCAACTGCGGAAACTGCGGCGAGACGAGATACCCCTTGGTCTCGACCCCAATAACTTCGTAAGGATCGAGAATCGGCCAACCAGCGTTCGATTGTCGGCAATTGCACGTTTCAATTCTGGCGAGCGTGTTAAACGTCGCGATCTGGCCGCGATTTTTTCTCGTCTGCCGGCTCGCGGAGATTTACGAGCTGAACAACGCGAGCGACGGGACTTTTCCGCGAGCTCAGCCGATGAGTGTACCGGAGAACCAGTGAACCGGAAGACGCTTGGTCCCGCCCCTTAGACGCCCCTGGTCCCGTCGTTATTTACGTTTCGATCGTCACTTGCTCTTTTCTTTTTTTTTGTCAAACTTTTAAAATTTTTTTTCTAGGATTACCTTGGTAATCGTTTCGATTATCATTTGCTTTCGTCTTGTCAAATTTTGGGATTTTCGACGCTACGATTATTCTGGTAATGGTTTCGATTATCATTTGCTTTTGTTTTGTCAATTTTTGGAATTTTCAACGCTACGATTACCTTGGTAATCGTTTCGATTATCATTTGCTTTCGTTTTGTCAAATTTTGGAATTTTCAACGCTACGATTATTCTGGTAATCGTTTCGATTATCATTTGCTTTCGTTTTGTCAAATTTTGAATTTTTCAATGCTACGATTACCTTCATAATGGTTTCGATTATCATTTGCTTTCGTTTTGTCAAATTTTGTAACTTTCAACGCTAGGATCGCCAGAGTATCTAAAGAAGGTTAAAAAAGCAAAAAAACGAAATGTATTTAAAAGATTATCAAGTTAAATCTGCTTTTGCGTGAATAATATAAAGGGTATAAAATCTGTTTTACCAACGTGTACGTTGCTTTATTTAACGAAATTCCTTCTCCACGTTTCCCATTTCAAATCCGAGTTAGAACGTTACTGCTACATGTGTCTGTACGGATAAACATCCAAATGAAACTCTACATCAAAGTCCAGGTATTCTTTCCCCTGGCCAGAACAAACACATTACACGATCCCAAAACAAACACGCGAATAACATCAAACAGGAGCCGCGTGTTTTATGAATTTCTTAATTAAAATCCGATGCATCGTCGCGTAAACGTGACGTGCTCGGCAAAGAGCAACGAAACGGGACGAAAATGTTATAGGGAGACATATTGAAACCTACGGCGGGAAAGGAGGAAGAAATTCAAGAAACGAAAGAAGCAAGAATTGAACACTCTCCAACTAGAAACTAGAGTGGAGAACTAAAGTGAAAGGTAAAACAGAGAAACACATATACACGAAACAAACGAAACAAAGATACGTCTCGACTAGGAACGCGTCAATTAAGGAAACCGGTCGCCGGTGGATGAGAAGCACGAGGGAACGAGAAGCCTCGCGATTTAGACGAGTCACGGAACGTCCACCGGTTGCAATAAACGAAATTACCGAGCGGAAAGTCGGCTCGGTAAATTCGCGCTCTGGTTTCGCGGGGACGTTACCCTCGTAACGCGGCCGCGCGAGACATTTAGCGGCTCGTGTTTCGTCGTAAAGCCGTTTCGAGGCAAACCGAGAAAGAGAAAGAGGCACAGGGACCGCCTCGTGTTCTTTTTTTTTTTTCTTTCTTTCTTTCTTTCTTTTCTACGAGTACTCGCCACAGCGAGTCGCGAGCGTAAAACAAAAGTGATAAACTTTACGTCAGTCATAGCGGCTGGTTTCTCCGATAAGAGATCAGACTGCCACGCTCCGGGGAACGCGGAAAAATGGGGAGACCCTGCAACAGCGTCTATCTGAGATCTGGCTCCGACTTTGCTACGTTTCCAGCATCCCTCGTGCTCGTTGTTAATACTCAGTTCGTGAAACAACGTGAAACTCGTCGAGCATAAAACTCTAGATTTCTAGGGGCAACGTTGTTCGTTGTTGGAACGCGTTTCTTGCGTCGGCAGCTGCGTGTAAATGGTCGTCAGTCACTTCGTTTGACAGGACGTGTCTTTTCACGACTCACGATGAGACTGGAGACTGGAGACTGTATCTACTGTAGTGCGCTACCATCGAATATTTTGCACTTTCGAAGTAAGTTTGTTTCGACGTTTCGATGTATCGTATTTCTCTTCTGTATAATTTGCACGGAACGGGCTTGCAGATCCCGAGATTTCGTTCCGTTGCTCGCGATGCTGTTGTTGAATTATAGAGAGAGAATCTCTATAATGGTTGAATGTTGAGCAGGAAGCATAATGTACGTTTCTTGAATGAAACTTCACACCGTCGGGCATTAATTCTGGCAAGCGAAGCGAGCAGTTGTAACCAACCTCCGTGCTCTACCACCGATCTTTGCCAAGTTTTCAATGGACACCCTAGTTAAACAGAACTTGATAAAGTGTGCCATCCTCCTACCGTGTAATTCTCCTCTCCGTGCGAGATTGTCTCTATTCCCAAAAGTATTCTCGACTTTTCTCTTTCTTGCGACTATTTCTCAGATATCTGTACGATGCATATTCCCTCTCCTCGAGTCTCGTCTGTATAAATCAAAGGGAATTTTCTGCCTTGGGAACAAAACTTTCGCAACAAGCTATTTCCGCGTGCCCGGCGAGTCTCAACACCGTATTCTCGCCTATCGAGAAATAGCTTGAGCACTCGGCTCAACAAATCACCGAGCCATCTATAACGATTTTCCTTCCAACCCTCCTTCCCCCCCCCCGCCCCCGAGTCGAGCAACGATATCTCCTATCCACCCACAAGGCCCGAAGGCAGCCACGAACGAATCCTACGCGCGCGAACAATGAAACCTCCAATCAAGAGGAGAGACAATGAAACGTGCGATTAGCCGCGATTGTCCGGACGGCGTAAACACGTCAATTACCCTGGAAACCGGCGCCCGATGGGGATCAATCTCGCCAGCGTAAGACGAAATTTTCACTTTGACGGCGCGTGGGAGGTGAGAGAACTATAACGGAGAAGCGAGACTATCGCACCTCGTGCGTTTTGCACAGAATGGATAGATTAAATTATACAGTCGGTGTACAGGGTACAGGCGAGATCTGGATCAGCTTGAAATAATCCCTTGCGTTTCCAACTCGTGTTTCTCAACTCATTTTTCAAAAGTGCCCGAATAAGCGATTCGAAATTTTTTTAAATCGAAATTTAAATTCAAATTTTTTAAATTCAAATTACAAGGGACAAGGGACTATGCTTCTCTCAAACTCTCGCTAATCACGTTTATCATAAGTGAATATATCGTGTCGATCTTTTCTTGCGTCCCATTGTGAATCACGATACGCTGATCGGTATAACAAGCTAGTGGAAGAGATCATCAAAATTGATCGTGTGATAAATAGTGAACATCTTTATCTATATTTATTATAATGCTCTCGGTTGTATTCTTTTTTTATACAGGGTACAGGCGAGATCTGGATCAGCTTGAAATAATCCCTTACGTTTATAACTCGTGTTTCTTATTTTTCAAACTTCTTAAATCACATAATTACGGACAAGGGACTATGCTACTCTTAAACTCTCGCTAATCACGTTTATCGTAAGTGAATATACCGTGTCGATCTTTTCTTGCGTCCCATTGTGAATCACGATGCGCTGATCGGTATAACAAGCTAGTGGAAGAGATCATCAAAATTTATCATGTGATAAATAGTGAACATCTTTATCTATTATATTATTTATTATAATGCTCTCGATTGTATTCTTTTTTTACCTTCTTAATACATAGTTGCATGAAAAGAAAATCGTCGATGATCTTGAAAAGTCCTTGAAGAAAAATACTCTTAGCAGTTGTTGATCTTTTAACACTAAACGTACCGGTATTTTACATATACCTAACTTACCATAAGGGGTCATTTGACC